GATGATTTTTTAATATTTTTTCTTACTTAGACTAAATTATCATATCTTAAAAATTAATTACAAAGAGAGAAACAATTTCTTTACCTAAATCCTAATTATATATATATATATATATTTGAAATGGTCCCAATAATTTAAAATCTCAAAAAACAAAATTTTGTAGAAAATAAAATTTGATGTACCATATTTGAAAATTTTCAAAAGCTAAGGGGGGGCAACTTGTCCCACATTAGCTTTGTCCCTGGAGGAGAGGAGCAAATAAGAGAAAGGAAAGGAAGAGGAATGGAATGATGTAATTTCCCTCCCCTCCCTTTCCCTCCTTCCATTCCCCTTATTTCAAATATAGGATTAATATGTTAAAAAAAACCCTTTTTTGAAAAGGAAAAAGAGTGTTGTGTAATTAAAATTATATCTAGTTGTATAACTTAAATTTTTATTAAATGAGATATTCTTATTTTACAATTTAATACAATTTGAACTATAAAACACTGTTGTTTACTGCATATACAATGATGTATATGCTAGTGATTTGATAACTTAAATATAATACAAATAAATTTAGAAAACTTTTGAAAAAAAATAAATATAAATCGAGAGATTTTTTCTTTTTTTAGAACATGAGGAATTTGGGGATAAGAGGATTTTTTTTTTTTTTTTTGATATAAAATTGTGGGACGCATATTTATTTCATAAAACAGGGAGTCAAATACATCCAAATTAAGGCATTTCACCTATTACAATATGCGCTCTATATGGTTGCGACATTGCAATCCAAAACTCATCATCCTCAGCATGTCGCGTTCGTCTCGCTAGTTCATGAGCCACCAAGTTACCTTCCCGCCAAACATGTTGGATACAACAATCAAGAAAAGAGGCCAAAAGTAGTTTGCAACCTAAGAGGACAAATCCCAAGCCAGAGTTGATAGCAAAGATGTGCAAGTTCAGAGCTGTCACTAAGTTTGCACAATCAGATTCCATTATCACCTTATCAAAAGAGAACTCACGAGCCCACTACAAAGCTTTGCGCATGCAGTAAGCCTCAACAATCTCCACCCCCACTGCTCCTTGACCCTTGCATGCCATGGTTGCCACCATTTCCCTTAAATTATTCCTCGTAATAGCCTTCATGACATAAACTCACTGATGAGAAGAAATTGCTCCATCAATATTTACATTCACCTAACTCTCACTCAAAAGACTCAATCTCATTTCCAGCTTCTTGGATGCGAAGCTCCTCCACCCATCAAAGTGATTGCTCTGTTGTAACCATCCATGAATCTTAGGCTCTACTCAACGATAAGTTATGGGTTTGGCATCTTATTGTTCCACAATGCATCGTTCCTAGAGCTCCAAATTCTCCAAAATAGCACACAAAAAAGTGCAAGTTGTTCTTTTTGCAAAAGAGTAGGCATATGGTTAAGGAAATTAGCAAAATTTTCCCATTAAGCATTGAAACTCTGAGATTCAATGGACAGCCCATCCAAACCGCGTGGCTGGCTGAACACTGCACAAGACAGTGAAAAACAAATTCTTGCTTTAAACCACACATAAGACAACTTAGATCAACTTCAACTCGGTGGCATTTGAGATTATCCATTGTAGGGAGTATATTCTTGTAAGCTTGCCATACCATCTATCGAATCTTCTATGGGATGTCAAGGTTCCATAAATACTTGCCTCTGAACCTAAGGAAGATGCAGAGGGACCATTATGAGACCCACCCATGGTCATGGTGTAATGATAGCTTAAGCGCACAGAATATGCACCATGCCGTGTAAAGCTCCACATCCAACCATCATATTGTCGTACCCAACTCACAAGCATGGATAGGATAAACTAAGCCTCATGAAGATTAAAAACGTTCTAAACCAAGTTATGCCTCTAGGAATGAGAGTCATTGTCAATAAGGTCACATACATAATGAAGCTCACAATCATCTGGGCGGGGTGTTTGAACATAAAATTAGGTGTTCTTAGGGAGCCATGGATCATTCCATATATCTATGGATCACTTGTCACCAATGAATCTCCTATAGCCTTGTTTGGGAATAGGAATAGCAGTCTAAATGCTCCTCCACAAGTAGGTACAAGAGGTCTTCAAATCTACTTGCAATAAATTAGTCTTTGGAAAGAATTTTACTTTCATCAACCATGCTGCCAATGGCTTAAGGTTAACTAGAAGATGTTAGCCTTGCTTACCAAGCATAGCTAATTTGAACTCATGGAGAGCACGGAAGCCTAACTCACCCATCTTCTTCAGAATTGCTAATTTTCTTCATTCCATCCCATGGATTTTGTGCTCATCGTCACCTCTACCCCACCAATATCTATTCATAATTCTCTCCAAATTTGCACAGAGGCTCAAACGAAGAAAGGACATTCCCATGAGGTACATTGGGAGAGCTTGCAAGACTGACTTAATGAGGACTTCCCTACTAGCTCGAGAAAGGGGTTGCTCTCGCCATTCGCTTATGTGATCCTAGAACTTGCTCTTCAAACTAGATAAGACAGTTGAGTTTGCTTGACCCACATAGGTTGGAAAACCAAGATATTTACCTGCGTGGCTCAACTTTTTCATACCAAGAATTCACATAATATGATCTCGTGAATTAGGCTACACATTTAGGCTAAAAGTAATAAAGGACTTTTGTAGATTTACAATTTGCACTAAGGCAGCTTCAAACATGCAAAGAATTTCTCTTAGGAATCTAGCTTCAGATTGAGAAGCTCGTAAGAAAAGAAAACCGTCATTAACAAAGAAGAAGTGAGAGATTTAGGGGGCATGTCGACATATCTTTATACCATGGATCATCTTTCTCCTCTTTGCATCTCTTATCATTGTTGTGAGACCTTTTGCACATAAGATAAACAAACAAGATGACAAAGGATCACCTTGTCGCAACCTTTGCAATGGGATTATTAATCCAATATCCACCCCATTCAGCAATATATTATATTGCATTGAGGTCACACACCCCATTATTAAATTAATCCATTGCCTTGCACAACCCAAGGCCTTTATAACTGCTAAAAGATACGACCATTCTACTCTATCAAAAGCTTTGCTTATATCCAATTTAATAGCCTGCCATTCCTTCTTCCTTCACTTCCTAAAGCACATAAAATGAAAAACCTCATAAGCAATTAGAAAATTATCAATAATAAACCAATTTGGAAGAAAAGCTCTATTCTTATGCGATAACCCCTAATAGCACATGCTTAAACCTGTTCGCCAAGACTTTTGCAAGAACTCTATAGATGACATTACAAAGACTTATAGGCCTTAAGTCACCCATCATTTTTAGCTCATTACACTTTGGGATAAGCATTATATTGGTAAGATTTAGCTCATTAGGGAAGGCAATCCCATGGTTGAGATATTGCAGACATGGTTTAACAACACCATCCTTCACTAAGCTCCAGAAGCGTTGAAAAAAAAATTGGAGAAAGCCCATATAGGCCAGGTGCCTTAGATGGGTGCATCTGAAAAAGTGCCTTTGTAATCTCCATCTTAGTGAACTTCTATAGCAGGAAAGAATTATCCCTGTCTCGCATACATTCCATTAGACAATCTGTTATTAAAGCTATGTTTGAAGGATCCGTAGATGCAAAAAGGTGAGTGAAATACCATGTAGCAATTTGTTGGATCTTACCAAAACTAGACATCCAATCACCCTTATCATTCAACAGCTTATCCACCCTATTATGCTCTTTGCGCCTAGAGGCTCTTTTGTGGAAAAAAACGAGTATTCCTATCACCCTCCTAGATCCACATTTCATGGGAATGCTACCTCTACATTATCTCTTCTTGTTCAAGCCATTTTTCTATTTCACCCAGCATACTTTGCTCTTCTTGGTGAGCCAAAACAGGATCTGGGTGATGCTTTAGCCTCTCAAGCTTCTTCAAGTACAGCCTTAACTGTTTTTGAACACGCCCAAACTACATACAATTTCACCTAGCCAAGTTAGCTAAGCATGCTCTCACCTTTTGCAAGAGACTATCCCAGTCATCTCATATCAATAGAGCTCCAACTATTCTGGACCACTCTTGGCATCTAGTATCACGCAACCACATCTCCTCAAATTGAAACCTTTTTAAATGCTTGTTTCTATTGTCTTGATGTCCATTAATAATGATCCATAGAGGCCAATGATCCGAAGATAGGGATGGAAGCAACCGAACCATAGCTTGAGGGAAAAATTCATTCCAGCGAGTATTAGCAAAACCCTTGTCCAATTCTCTAAGGTTCTCCCTCTCTACCAAGTGAAAAAGCCGCCTACTATTTTCACTTCCTCTAAACCGCAAGCATCAATAGTATCATTAAAGTCCACAAGAAGCCATTATGGTTGTGCTTCTTCAACCATCTTCTCACCTTGGCACAAAATGTCATTAAAATCTCCACTAATTAGCCAGGATAGATGTGAACAACCTGTAAGGTCATGTAACAAAGCCCATGGCCTTCTCTTGTGGCTTATATCAAGACAACTATAATAACCTGTAAACCTTCATGTACATCCCTCAATCCATCAACCTCTATATCAATATGATTCATGGAGTATGATAATAAAGATAACTACACCTCCAAGTTCCAAAACATCACCAAGCCCCAACTACGCCTTATCGTCTCCATCATAAAGTAATTTTGAAATTTTAGCCTTCGACGAATTCTATCCATACCCTTTTTATCCAGTAACATTTCACACAAGAACACTACTGTAGGCTTTTTCAACCCCACCAATTTGATGAGGCTTCGAATTGCTCGAAGGCTTCTAAGTCCTCAACAATTCCAACAAAAGGTAAATAAGAACCGACCCCTTAAGCGCCCATTTGAAGAAGCGGAGTAAGAGAATGCGACTATTATGTTTAGCCCGGCAGATTACCAGCGAGCAGGAGAGCCTGACGTCGTGATGCCTTACGTAGATCCTTTTGTAGCAACAGTCCATATAGGCAATCATAACGTCAATAAGGTTTTCATTGACACTGGCAGCTCGCCCGATATTCTGTATTAGAGCTGCTTCCAAAAGATGCAGCTGAACCCCAGCTCGTTACAAAAATATGAAGGGCCAATCTATGGGTTTGATAATCAGCCCGTTCCAGTGGAAAGAGTAATCACACTTCCCATTTATGTGGGTTCAGAACCACACTTCAGGATGGCTTCAGTCAACTTCCTGGTCGTCAAAATGGAGTCAACCTTCAACGCCATATTAGGGAGGGCAACCCTCTGCAAGTTGAAGGCTGTTATTTCACAGCCCCATCTCTGCATGAAATTCCCAACGTCTCAAGGGGTTGGGGTGCTAAAGGGGAATCAGAAGATGGCCAGGGCATGCTATCAAGATACGTTTAAGAAGGTTGAGCTCGCTGTAGCCCCGAGAGGCTCTGAAAGTAGTAGGCCAACTCAGCTCGGCCAGCAGACAATGAGCATATCAGACATTGAGCATAGACCTGAGGGTGTCGAGCAGAAAGCAGAGCCGGTAGAGCCAGTAGAAACCGTTCCTTTAAACCCTAATGTGCCGGAAAGAACAGTCAAGATCGGCACCAAGCTCACAGAAACAGAGCGAGCAGAGCTTCTGGAGTTTTTGAGGGTCAATCAAGATGTGTTTGCGTGGACCACTGATGAAATGACTGGCATCCCAGCGGAGTTGACAGTCTACAAACTCAGCACGGACCCCACCAAAAGGCCGGTGGTGCAGAAACGTCGCCTTTTTGGCCCTGAGAAACAAGCTGCCATAGACGAAGAGATCCAAAAGCTGCTACAGGCAGGCTTCATCAAGAGAGTGGAGTACTCTAAATGGGTATCTAACCCTGTGCTCGTCAAAAAGCCGAATGGCAAGTGGAGGATGTGTATCGACTTCACCAACCTCAATGAAGCATGTCCAAAAGACCTTCACCCCTTGCCAAATGTTGAGAAGCTAGTAGAGCGAGCAGCCGGGCACGAATGGATGAGTTTCTTCGACGCCAGCTCAAGTTATCATTAGGTTCAATTGTTGTTGGACGACCAAGAGAAGTCAGCCTTCTATGTTAGTGATGCGATCTATTGCTATGTGATGCTGCCATTCGGCATGAAAAATGCTGGCGCCACATATCAGAAACTGGTACAAATCATCTTTAAACTCCAGATCGGCAGGAACATAGAAGTTTATGTGGATGACATGATTGTCACCAGCGTGCGAGCTGAGGATCATATAGGCGACCTGAGTGAGACCTTTAAAAATTTGCGCCGAGCCCAAATGAAGCTGAACCCCCTGAAGTGCACATTCGCTATAGAATCAGGGAAATTCCTAGGGTACGTGGTATCCAAGGAGGGAATTGAAGTGAACCCCGAGAAGGCTCTGGCCGTTCAACAGATGGAGCCTCCCAAGACTGTAAAGGATGTGCAGCGCCTGACAGGTCGTGTAGCCGCGTTGCACAAATTCATAGCCAGGTCGGCGGAAAGGTGCCTACCGTTTTTCAAAGCCTTGCGAGAGCCCAAGCACTTTCAATGGACCAACGAGTGTCAGCAGGTGTTTGACGAGCTCAAGCAGTATCTAGCATCTGCACCCCTGTTGTCTAAGCCTGTGGAAGGGGAGAGTTTACACCTATACATGGGGGTTACAAGAGAGGCAGTGAGCTCAGTTTTGCTCAGGGAAGAGAATAAGAATCAGAAGCCTATCTGCTACATGAGCAAGGTTTTACAAGGTGCAGAGCAGAACTACCCATTAGCAGAAAAGGCTGCCTTTGCCCTGGTTTACACAACTTGTAAGTTGAGGGCTTACTTCCAATCACATAGGATTGTTGTCTATACCGACTTGCCATGGAGAAAAATACTGCAAAAACCTGAACTCTCTGGTCGGCTTATCGGATGGAGCGTCGAGCTGAGTGAATATGACCTCAAATTTAGCCCGCGCACAACCATAAAAGGCCAGGCCGTTGCAGACTTTTTGGTGGAGTGCATCTCAGCGACCAAGGAAGAAAAAGCACCCGAACACCCAGTCTGGGTTTTGTATGTTGATGGAGCTACTAACATTGAAGGATCGGGTGCTGGGGCTGTGTTGTTGGGCCCAGATGGCTTCAAGTTTGAGCACGCACTGAGGTTTAAGTTTCAGACGACTAACAATGCTGCAGAATACGAAGCCCTCATTTACGGATTGAAGCTGGCGTCTGAGCTGAAGGTACAAAGCATTCAGGTTCTTAGCGACTCACAGCTGGTGGTGGGCCAGGTGAATGGCAGTTGCGAAATTAGGGATCCCTAGCTCGGTCGTTATGCCTCTGTGGTCAATAGATTGAAGTCAATGTTTGTCTCTTTCCAAATTGATAAAATACCAAGAGCAGATAACCACCGAGCTGATGAGCTGTCAAAATTGGCCTCCTCGCAGGAGCTTAACCCTCAGAGGTCAACAATCGTCGAGGTGCTTGACGCCCCGAGCTACACCGATCTCACAGCCGAGTGCCAGCTGTTAAGTACAGACCCCTCTACACCAAGCTGGACCACCCCCCTCATAAATTATTTGCAACGTAGTGAGCTACCTGAGGATCAGTCCGCTGCAAAGTTGGTCAGACGCAGGGCGGCACATTTCACTTTGATAGATAATCAGCTTTACAAACGAGCAGCCTCAATGCCCTTATTGCGCTGCCTTACTCCTTAAGAAGCTGAATATGCCGTGAGGGAAGTTCATGAAGGAGTATGTGGCACACACATCAGTGGCAAGACTTTAGCTCGAAAACTCCTGAGGCACAGTTATTACTGGCCCACTATGGTTGAGGACGCATAGAACTATGTCAAAAAATGCCCGACCTGCCAGTTCAACGCTGATGATATCCATATGCCAAGAGAAATGCTCTCGTCACTCTCATCTCCTTGGCCTTTTGCTCAATAGGGAGTCGACCTGCTCGACCCTTTTGCGAAAGGCAAAGGAGGTTGCTCTTACCTTGTTGTCGCGGTGGATTACTTCACCAAATGGATAGAAGCTAAACCATTGTCCATGACAACAGAAAAGAAAATAGAAGAATTCTTGTTCAGCTTAATATTGTGCAGGTATTCTTTGCTAGCTTAAACCATTCGTACATTGTGAGTGTAGTTTGTGGCTCAGATCGGTCATCTGTGTATAGGTTCGACATACCTAGGCGGATCATTGCTGACAATGGCCCACAGTTCCGAGCCACGGCACTGAGGTCGTTCTGCAACGACTATGGCATCGAGCTCGCCTTGACGTCTGTGTATAACCTACAATCAAACGGGCAAGCTAAGTCCGCTAATAAAATTGTTCTGCGAGGTCTCAAGGCGCGTGTTTTAGCCGCGCGTTCTACTTGGGTTGATGAGCTCAATAAAGTGCTTTGGTCATGTCGCACTACACCTAGCTCGGCCACAGGCGAAACCACGTTCAGCCTGGCATATAGAGCCGAGGCCGTCATCCCTGTCGAAGTCGGATTGCCATTTGATAGATCAGATCGTCATGACGATCAGAATAAGGGGCAACTCTTAAGAGAGAACCTAGACCTAGTGGAGGAAGTCAGGGAGATGGCTCGGATTAGAAACATGGCGCACCAAAGTCGTGTTGCAAAGTTTTATAACAAAAGAGTTCGAGCTCGCCAGTTTCAGGTCGGCGATCTGGTTCTGCCCAAAGCTGGATTAACTAATACTTATTCGCACATGAGCAAGCTTGCTCCTAATTGGGAAGGGCCTTATATGGTCATTTCTATTCAACGACCTGGGTCTTACCAGTTAGCAGATTTACACGGTTGTCCGTTACCATTTATTTGGAACATACATAATCTTAGAAAGTTCTACAGTTAACATGTATGTTATCAATGTTCAGTTCATTCCTAATCATTTGTAAACGATGATTAACAGAAAATATACTACAGAAATTTCCAAAGAAAAGTTCTGAATTTGTATTCAATCAATGAGTTTTTACAAGTGCAATACATGTTCTAAACAAGTTCATTGATTTACACAAAAATGCAAAAGCAACACAAAATAAACAAAGAAAGTAAAAATCCTAACTAGTCATCCATCAGATCGACGGGGATGGATGCATCATTAGGCGTAGAAGCAAACCGAGCCGGAGATGACCGATCTGAAGAAGAGTGAGCAAGAGCAGCGGCTGAGATGAGCTGGGGCGGAGCGGAGGGGGGAGTGCTGGAAGGCTCAGCAGGCACATCATGGGGGTCTGCTACCCAAGCATCGAAGCTCGACAACCCCTCCGTGTCCTCTCCCTCCTCAACGACTGAAGGGGGCCACACGGGCAGCCCCTCTTCGTCGAGCTCCCACTTCAGCTTCACCTTGGTGTCAGCTGGCTGGGCAAGGCTCTTCCCGTCAGCGTCGATCTCCTCGCCCTCGAAGAAGGCCAGCTCGCCAATGGGAAAGTCTACCCGGACTCCTAGCACCTTTCCACGAACTTCGTTGAAAATGTCCGTGGTGGTGTTGGCTGAAGCCACTGCTACAGCATCCTGGAACATTTCTACTCCCACCAGCCACTCAGCCCTTTGTGCACGGGCAAAGCAGACGTCGCGCTGGTGGAGTTTTTTGGTCCTCTCCAAGGACGCCTCAGCCCGGGCGACATGCTGATCAGCTAGTGACACCCTCTCTCTCAAGCCGTTGAGCTCGTGCAGAGTCCTTTCCTTATCAGCTTCTGCCTTTTTGGCCCGGTCCTCTTCACAGCCGGTCTCCTCCTTAGCAGCTTGAATGCCGCTTTCCTTCTCCACCTGAGCCCATTGGAGCTCCTCCTTCAGCTCGTCTACCTTGCGGGCCAGCTCGTCAGCTCGGCTTTCAACTGATGCCGCTCAGTTCGCCATCTCCGAGCTCTGCAAACGACTGACCTCGTCAGTCAAACTGGCTTTTTCAGAGGCCAGTTGTTTGCAGCTCTGTTGAAGCTCATTGTTCTGAGCCCTGACCCCCTACTCGCACTCGAAGAATGCGACAGTGTAGCTGAACGCCTATCATAGACATACACTCATTAGTTACAAGCACAAAATAATAAAACCAACAATGAGCTCAGCGAGTATACTTACATCCATTAACTTGATAAGGGCAGCATGTCCACCATGCTGTTGAATGTGCCCCTTCACGCGCAGCTAGTCTGTGAGGGGCATAAAGTTCTGCATAACCTCCAGCATAGCGCCTTGGCACTCTGTCCTGACGTAACTGAAGCCATCAGGGTATGCAATCCTGGGCCCTGCCACAGACGATGAGGCTGGTACGGCCTCAGCAACCTCACGAACTGGCGCTTGAGGCACGCTGGCAGGTCGCGCAGAAGCGGCTGAGGCGGGCTGCGAGCTAGTACTTGTCCTTCGCCGGATGAGTGGGACGTCATCCTCCGCGTCAGACTCTTCCCTGGCACGTCTCTTAGTGCTGGAAGGCGCAGGTTCCGTCCTCTGCTTGGCACGCGGCCTCTGTGCCGAGCTGGAACTTCGATACTAGGAGCTGCGCCCCGGTGCAGCAGGTGGCCGCTCGTCAAAGCGGGACTGACACTGGGAACTAAACCCAACTCCGCTGCCACGTGAGCCTTGTGCCCTCTAGCGCTGCCTCTCTAGAATGCTACTCATTTCTCTTGCACAAATAAAAACATAAGATTCAGGTTGGCTAGAAATCCTACTATGATATAGAAATATACCTTTCTTATGAAGGTTTGCCACGTCGACAAACCCAAGAAGTGCGATCTGGTCCGGGGTAACCAAGGCTTCCAGATCCACCAAACCCTTCGCCTTCACGTGATCGAGCAACCGGTTCTTCAGGTCAATATCACCAACTGTCAGCTGAGGGTAGTTCATATACATGTTCGGCGTGTGCCACTCAAACAGATGGGCGGCAAGCTCGTTGTTAATTCGCTCAGTTCATGTATCCCGCATGAAAACGAACTGTCTCTTCCACCTCGCCACCTTATTCCTAATGTTGGTGAATATCATCATCTTCTCTTTGCCCGAGATGTAGTACCATCTCGTTCCACTGGTAGACGGGCACAATCTACACAAAAAGAACGACCTGAAGACCGTTGCCTTTGCAGGCATCCCCAACCTTTCGCACAACAGCATAAAGCTTATGATGAACTTTATGCTGTTGGGAGTAAGTTGCGAAAGGGCCAGCTCGTACTCTGCCAGGACGTCGAAAATTATTCCGGGCAGAGGAAAACGTAGACCAGCGTCAAAGTGGTCTACGTATATTGGCACCCAGCCCGTCCGCAACACTGAGCATGCCCGCTCGTTCGGTGTCCCAGCTCATATCAGGATGGTTCTGAGGATATGGAATCGCCTCACCATCTCCTCCAGCTTCTTGTACCCCTTCATCGTGGCCGCACCATCTGCAACCTCATGATGTAGTGCCACCCTGAACTTAAACCCAGCCGATAGAGTTTTTGGGGCCTTACGAAGGTTGCTCAGTCGTCCACTCAAAACCTTGCCTTTCCACCCTTCGAACACCACCACCTCTGTTGCTGCGCTCGTCACCGGCGCACTGCAGCCAACCTCCTCAACATCCTCTACTCCACTGGGTGTCCGTCCGTGGGCGAATCACTGAAGGTTGAAGGCCGGTGGCCCTCAGAACCACCACCTGCGCTCAAACTAGTGCTGCTTTCCGACGCGACAGTTCGGGGCGAATCCAGCAACTCCGGCGGCACTATCATCGCGATAGGCTCCACAGATATCACATCAACATCTTCCTCGTCACCTTGGTTACCCTGGAACCCTTGTGCATCATGGAAAGAAGCCATTTTTACCTGAGTAGTTGAAGGTTAACGTGCTTTCGCTGGAAGTCTGAAAAAATGGCCGTGAATATCTCTGCAATCTTCTCTAAAAAACGTACGAATGTGCTTTGCAATGAAATGAAAAGAAAAGACAAACTATTTGTTTTGTTTTGGCCGTTCATATGGTGCTCCGTAAACACCATACGCGTGTTTACGGCCCCCTAGTTAAGCGTGTCCATGTGGCAACCATTTATGGTTAAAAACCCAAAATGCGTCGTTTGCAACTGTCACGTCCCCTCAAATGCTGAGCCAGCATTTATTGCGGGGAGGTAAAAGGGTATCTATTAAAAGCAGAAGAATACCAAACGCCCTGAGCAAATCTCCTCAGAGATTCGCCACAATTGTTGAAAAATCAGAAGGATCAGATCGCGACAAACTTCAATGATCAGCTCGTAACAAATTCGAGACTTAGGCAAATCTCCTCAGAGATTCGCCACAGTTCAAATTTTGAAAAGTCTAAGGGATCAGCTCGTAACAAATTCGTGATCTCCTCATAGATCTGCCATAATTCAGAACTTGAAAATCTCAAGAAATCAGCTTGTTACTAATCAGAGATCCCTTTAGAGATCCCAAATTTGAAAAACTTCTAGAGGTCAGGTCGCACAAATCATGGATTCACCTGTGCTGCTCTAGAGATCTCTTCATAGATTGTAACCAATTTCCTCAGAGCTGCTCTGTATCCCAGAGATCTATATTGAAGTGACGAGTGTGGTCGCTACTCTCTGCCCGTCTAGGGTTGGTGCGTTCAGCTCGTTCACTATCTGCCACAGAGAATTCATTATGCAAGATCACCCTTGTGCGCCTGCCCGACCCTCTGATTGGCGTCGAGCTCGATTAGCTTTGACATCAACTCTTCACGCCTGCTCGGCAGAAAGTCGTCATACACTTGCGCATTCGGCCAGGCACGATGTCTTCAAGCCACTCAAGTCCACCGTGTGTGAAGTCGTTCATAAACATAAAGCGTCACTCCTCGTCCTCGAGGCCAAACACCATGCTTACAAGGCTCTCCATCTAGTTCGTCAACCGAACGCTGAGGGGGGAGTAATGTTGGGATTAGGCCCAACGCCCACTTCGGACCACATATAACAAGCCCAACTATGCACACACAGGCCCAAGAGGAGGGGACATACCCACGTGAGCAACACCACGTGGACCAATGAGTTACTTACATGTATGGATGCATGTCAGCATTTGGGGCTATAAATACCCCCCAACTACCAACAATGGAGGTAATTAATCTCTACACTTCTCTCTCTGCAATTACTCATTGGGAGCATCTCTCTCTAGAATACTGAGTATCGCTGATTTGAGCGTCGGAGTGTTTTCTCCGAGGAAACACCCTCAGGATTTTCAAGTGTGGGAGCAGCTAAGGGCTTCAACAGTGTTGGACTGCAAAGATGCCCAAACATCATCCAAAAAAAAAAATTGCAACTAAAAAAGGTAAGAAATTCTCCTATAAATGTTCTCCACTGTACTTCTTCTGAAACAATCTCATATTCCTCTCCTGCCATATGTAGTATATTGATGCAACCAGTGCAACACGGAACTACTTAATAATAGCTCTTCCTCTTCCATATCTTTGTGTCCATCTGCATTCGTTGGTCAGGAAAAAGGTTCCCTCTTAATTTGAAAAAAATTCCAAGACAAGCTTCCAAATACTCTTAGGAAATTCATGCTAGAAAAAAGATGCTCAATATTTTCCATACATACCCCACAAAAGCAACATTCCAGAACAATTAACATACCCTTTGATGCCAACAAGACTTTGGTCTTAAGTCTACCTCGCACAACCAATCATACGATAAAACTATGCTGAGGAAAATCTTCACTTGACCAAACTAGTCTTTGCTAATTAACTTTTGGTTCCTTAACCCTCAACAAATTATAGCAACTAGCAATGAAAAAGCAACTAGACACAGTAGGCCTTCACAAGACCTCATCCTCCCTTCCTGGAGACTTTTAGGTAAAATCAACTAGGCAAGAGAAGGGTACCTACGAGCAAAACTATCCGGTATCTGCCAGGCACCAACATCCCACCATTTAGCTACAACACTGCCATGCCCTCATGCCATCAACTCTTCTCTGAATTGTACCCTATCACATATTCGTTATAATTTTTCTATAATTATAATTTTTTAAAAAGTATGGCTGAGAACCACTTTTCCCATAGTAAAATGTATTTTTATGCAAAATAAATTTGCAAAACCTTCAAATCTATCCTAAAAAAATATTGGTAAGAACACATTCATTTTTTTTTTAAAAAAAAAAAGATAAATGACTCCTTCAAATTATAAATTAATACAAATTACTCTTTTTTTTACAAAAAAATGTTAGAATTTTGTTTGTTACGTCAACATTTTTTAATGAAAAATATTAAAAAATAAATAATTTGTATTAATTTATAATTTAAAAAAATAATTTATTATTATTTTTTTTTTTTTTGAGAAGTGAATGTATCCTTAGGATTTTTTTTTAAGGTAAATTTGAGATTCTGCCAAATAAATTTACGTTTGTATTGGCCTCACGGTAGAAGTCCTTTCTAGTTGTTCGAATGGAATGGGCGTGAATCTCCACAATATTAAATTATATAATTTAAGTCATATTAAATATAATTTTATGTGGGCTACTTCTTCAGAGGCTATTGGTCTGGTGGCAAAACTATCTTTTCTCCACAATAGGGGTAATTATGAGAGTTTCAAATCTTCTGGTGCACATCTTTTTTTCTTTTTTTTTCAATGAATTTTGGAATACATTTATTAAAATAAAAGAAATATTATATAATTTAAATTATATTAAATTATACACAAATAAATTATTGATACTCTTGATATTAAAGTTGTCCCTTTATTTAACAATTTTCATTTTATATTCTATGTTATAAAGACAAAATTTTATTAAAATTTACATAACTGTGCTAGTTTTACTGATTCAAATTCAATCGATTTCAATCAATTTTATCGTTTAGGTGGTTCGAAATTTCTATTCAAGACCATACTAATTTATGGCTACTTACCGATCCAACCAACCAGTTTCGGTCTAATTTCTAAAACACTAGTATCGAGCTTATCCTTACAACTCCTGGAAATTTCTATTTCATATCCACATTTATTATTTAAAAAAAAATTAAAAAAGGGCAATCAAGGTGTTTTTAAGTTCTAAGTTTTATATATTTTAAAATTAATTTTATTTTAAATATTTTTAAGTGTATATCTCTCATATTAATTTAGTTTATTTATAAAAATTAATTTTTTACTATGAATATTAAAATTAAAATTATAAATTTAATTTATAAAGTGATATTTTTTTATTAATAAATTTAAATTTTAAGTTTTTTCCTTTTGTTTTTTCAGTGTGATGTCGATAGATAGATTAGTTATCAGGTTGTTTAATTTTTTTCTCCCCCACTAGTCCATTTTCTTTGTCTACTTTTATTGGAACCTGTCAATGTGGGATCACATTTCTACCTTTTTCCACAAGAGATGAAGCACGACGCGGTTTTAAGGATTGATGGGAAATTGGCAATGAATTCTCCCTTTATGACACTCCAATAGATATCAAGGTCTTGGCCGCTTGGGTCATGATGTCCAACTTTTCTTTTAAGTTGAGTCAGTAGTAACATCATTTGTGTCAAAAATATGAAAAAAAAAAAGAAAGATATGATGATGTCCCACTCCCATCCTTCACCTGTCTTTCTTGAATTTTGGGTAATTGAATTATTTCTCGGGATAAAAAATCGTCAATAACCCTCAAATCCATTCTTTAAATACGGTAGTCATAATTTTTTTTTAAATAAAAAAATAAATTATTTTTTAAAATTAAAAATTGAGATAAATTATTTATTTTTTAATTTATAATATTATTTTTTTGATTAAAAAATACTTATATTACAAATAAAATTTTGATATTACATATTAAAAAATAAATAATTT